TGTACGTATGTAGGTATGTATGCATGTATGTATGTATGTATGCATGTATGTATGGTATGTATGGTATGTATGGTATGTATGTTACGTATGTTATGTATGATATGTATGTTATGTATGTTATGTATGGTATGAATGTTATGTATGTTATGCATGTGTATGTTATGTATGTTATGTATGTTATGTAGGTTATGTAGGTCATGTGTGCTATGCATGTATGTATGTATGTATGTACGTACACATGTATGTATGTATGTATGCATGTATGTATGTATGTATGTATGTATGTTATGTATGTTATGTATGTTATGTCTGTTATGTATGTTATGCATGTTATGTATGTTATGTGTGTTATGTATGTATGTATGTAAGTATGTATGTATGTATGCATGCATGTGTATGTGTGTATGTATGTATGTATGTAAGTACATATGTATGTATGTATATAGATATTTTCAACCCATGCAAATAGAGCGATAGAGAGAGATAGATAGCTAGATAGATAGATAGGTAGATAGATGGATAGATAGATAGACCGAAAGATGGATAGATAGATAGATAGATAGATAAGATAGATAGATAGATAGATAGATAGATAGATAGATACATAGATAGATAGATAGATAGATAGATATAGATAGATAGATAGATAGATATAGAAAGAAAGATAGATAGATAGATAGGTAGGTAGGTAGATAGATTGATAGGTGGATAGATAGATAGATAGGTAGATAGATAGGTAGGTAGGTATATAGATAGATAGGTAGATAGATAGATGGATAAATGGATAGATGGGTAAATGGATAGATAGATGGATGGATGGAAAGACGGAAAGATGGGTAGATGAAAAGATGGATAGAGAGACAGATGGATAGACAGAAAGGTAGATAGACAGAGAGATAGATCAATAGATAGGTAGGTAGGTAAATAGATAGGTAGATAGATAAGATAGGTAGATAGAGAGATAGAAAGAAAGATAAATAGACAGACAGACAGACAGACAGATAGATAGATCTATGGGTACATTGGGAGAGATTGGGGTTGAAAGAAAGATAGATAGATAGATTAGATTAGATTGAATTAGATTAGATTAGATGGAAAGATAGAGAGATAGATAGACAGATAGAGAAATAGCGAGATAGAAAGATAGATAGATAGATAGATACAGATAGATATAGATAGATATAGATAGATATAGAACGATATAGATAGATATAGATAGATATAGATAGATATAGATAGATGTAGATAGATATAGATAGATATAGATAGATATAGATAGATAGATAGAGATATAGAGATATAGATAGATAGCTAGATAGATAGCTAGATAGATAGATAGATAGGTAGATAGATAGGTAGATAGATAGATAGATAGATAGAGATATAGATAGATAGAGATATAGATAGATAGATAGATAGATAGATAGATAGACAGATAGATAGATAGATAGATAGGTAGGTAGATGGATAGATAGATAGATAGATAGAGATATAGATAGATAGATAGATAGATAGATAGATAGGTAGATCCATAGAAACATATAGATAGGATAAGATAGATAGGACAGGAAAGATAGGATGAGATAGATATAGACATAGAGATGCACAGGATCAGAAAGATAGATCAATAAATAGATAGAGAGAGAGAGAGACAGACAGGCAGACAGACAGACAGGCAGACAAACAAACAGAAAGACAGAAAGAGAAACAAACAAACAAATAGGTTATATAATATACAAAGATCGAGAATTAAATGGAAACGGATGTGTCATTATCCGTGCATATTTTTTTAAAGATAGAGCACGTGGACTTGAACCTGAAATGCGAACCAACAAGAAACTTGACACTTCTAGAAGCTGCTCGATGGCTGAGACACATCACAAGACATCCCGGCCCCAGTGCATCCCAAAACAGTCACAGTTATTTGGGAGAACCCTCCCATCTTTCCACCTGAATGAAAGTAAAGAAATATATGTATATAATATTTATATGGTGTATATATATATATAGCTATATATATATATATATGTAAATACATATATATATATATATGAATGTGTATATTACCGAGGGAAGTTTAAACTTCCGACAATACGGACAGATGAAACGCAGAGATGGGAAGAGTAAGAGGAGAGAAGAGAAGAAGAAAGAGGATCAAAGAAGAGACAGTCAGAAGAGAAGAGAAGACGAAAGAGGATCAAAGAAGAGACCGTCAGAAGAAAGAAGATCCAGGTGCGCGAAAAAATCGGAAAGCCGCGAAACACTGTGTTTTTTCCACTGGTTTGTGGCTCCGGAGGGTCGAAAAGTAAGCTCGCTAAAGCGCATTTCCAAGCCAAAATGTACAAAACACACCATTCTCGGACCATTGTTGCAAGTTGAGATGTCGAAAAAGTGCACGCCCTTGTGGCACGAAGCACATTTCCAAGTCAAAATATATAAGGCACAACATTCTCAGACCACTTTTGGAAGTTGACATGTCGAAAAAGTGCACGCCATTGTG